GCAATTTTTTCGGAAGACTATGTATAGCTTTCTGTCTTGTCATCTAGTTTATTTTGACGGAATTCTTAAAAGTTCAAGCAATTTCATTTCATCCAGGTCTTCCCTCTCATCAATTCGATGAATATTCTATATTTCGTCTATTTTATGTTTCGTGATTCCTCACATTCTATCGATTTATCATTATTTTTCGTAAATAAAATTAAACCGACTCAGTAAATGTGGTATGGCTGAGAGTTGTGGTCCGTATCTCTGCGCATTATCGTATAATTCAAAAAGAGGAACGGCGAGCAACTTCATATTTTTTGGAACCGAAAGAACCTCTTTTTTCAGACAAGATGTCAAATGTAAGCGTAAGCAATAATGGTTGTATTAAATATTATACTGAACAGACACTTACTTTTCTCAGGTAAATTCACCAAGAAAATTTTCTTTTGTTCCTTCGGTTTTGTCACGTGCGCCGGAATATACGGATACTACGTTGCAATGAGAATACGTATTGTGCCGGATTCCCCATAATCAGACAAGAGTTATTCTTAAAGCGCTCGTATGTGAACAAAGTTACAACATGCTTACCATAAACGTCTCGAAATTAGGTCTCCACCAGACGGCTAAGCATTCCCCGATTTCCCAGTCTGAATTATGATCATTAGACGTCTTGTCTTTGTCAACGGGAGCAAGCCGTTCGTCTAATCTTGCTTTAAGGCCTTCAATTTCATCTTCACCTGGTCGAAGATAATCGCCAGGCCTAAGCAGACAGAATCATTAAGTTAGTGTGACAATTACGAAAGAATAAATAATAATTCGCACTGCACTAAAGGTATGTGTCGTTGTAAATAATTGATCAAAGGCTATATAGTATTACAGTTGCCTAAACATTAACATCACCGAAGTGTTTCTTTTTACTATCCCCCCGTCTTCCCTCGTTTAACAATTGATCACTTTTTTCTCGAAACCCCCTCCATTGATTCCTTACAATTTGAAGAAGCTGTTTGCAATCTGCAACATTAAAACATGCGGGTGATTATGTTCGTGCACTACTAGGACTCCCTCCACAGTCCTACGCATTCCGCTTGTTTCATAATCGTTCTGAAGCCTCTGCAAGCGTGCTGCTACGCTTGGGTCTTCTTCGGGCTGTGCTTCTTTTGTACCGAATGTATAATTTACTGAGGGTAAAAGTTGATGATAGCAAAGTTTAAAAAAGCTGATCATAACTAATTCATCATTACAATAGTCAGCAAACTCCCAGAGCCTAATGAATTGTGACCTACTTAGAGGATATCTTTGAAGCCAGTGGTTCTTTTCTCGTAAGCCAAGTTATTTTATTGCAAAAGGAATGTTCATTATTAAAGACAAGCTTAATAGGCTAGACATACTTACAGTGTTACTGTTGGGTTAGTCGACATGTCGAATACTTGTGCGTCGTCGGAAGAGTTTTTATCAACATTGAACGACGACGAAAATGTATTTAATATTTTTGTAACGTGAGGATCTGCATTAGTGGATCCACATATTTATGACGTGCATGGACAATGATGAATTATAGAACTAATGAAATTTACACGCACTTTATTAGCCAACCCTTGATGGAATTACCTTAATAAAATTCTGTTTAGATTAAAAAGCTATTTTTACAAGCGCCCAATTATGGCGTTTTCTCTAAAATATTAACCATATCAAAAAGGGAAAAGGAATAAAATCGACAAATGAGCGGTATCATGTAAAGCAGGCTTGATGTGAAAAAAGATAGAGAGAAGGGAGAATAACTAGATATACAATACAAAATACTATACGACAAAAATAACCATTTCTTCCAATTCCTACTGACCCCCAGCAACTACATTGCTCTTTCCGAATTCAGCGACAGCTACGAATTCTTCCGCCGCTACCTGTCTGTGTTGTTCATATATTTCAAACATCGAGTCTTGTGATGTATAATTCCTTACAGTTAGTCTCCGTTTCTTCCCCATTTCCATCTCCCCTAGAGTATCATCTTGTGATGCAATGAATTCGTCGCTGGGTAAAGGAGTTTGTTGTGGTGGCATGTGTGATGGCCCTGCCTGCAAGCCTACGGGTACAGAATTGGATCGTGGGAGAAGCGGATGTTGGGAAGATATTAGTGGAGACTGTGGAGCAGATCGTGTATCTTGAGCTGGCGGAATCGGAAATTGTGCAAGTAGTTGAGGTGAGGAAGCTTCGTCACCTGAGTCTTGGTAGATATCCTCGTCTTCCTCTGTCAGAAGATCGAGGTCGTTTACCTCGTCATCACCGACAACTGTTGCAATAGATTTCTCTATGATTTTCTTTTCCAGTCCGACTAACGCTTCAGGTACGTTGTCCATATAGTGTACACTGTTACGGTTACTTCTACCACCTAGTTCATCGCGGAGGTCTCTGTAACGAAGTGGTGTCGGTGATATTGGTTCATTAATAGAATTCGCGTTCTCATCAACTGGCTGATGGGACGCTTCTGGTCGATCTGACTCGACATCAGCGGGATCTTGCCCGATTGTTCGTGGTGCCGCTAGCCCATCAGAATTTGTAAAGAATATATAGTCGAATTCTGCCATAAAGAGATTAAATACTCCAACGGGTATGCCCAAAGTAGGTGAAAAGACAATCCCGATATTTCGTGCTGTCATTTTGTTGATATCCGAATTTTGTACAACGTGAATGAGATGCGCAATTAAAGTGCGTAGTAGAGTATAGTTTGGAATTGGGAGAGCCGATACAAGCCTACCGAGTTCGTTGATCCGTTCTCGGCGATCAAGAAGATCTACAAATGAAAAAATCATTGTCAACGGCAACTCAATTTAACAAAAAAAAGTTTTTAGACAACAAAAAGAGTAAAAACTACTAACCAACGACATTGACAAACTCAGAATGCAAATCCCGAGTCAGCACAGGGGTAGGTAGCTCTCGCAAATACAATTTGAGTAGACCAGAAATAGCATGTACATCATATTGATTCGTCTCGGCCAATAAATCAATATCACCTTCAGTGTTAAATCGCTCCTTCAACATTTTGATGGTATTCGATGATCCGCTCAGCCGGTAAATTCCTTCCTCGTACGCAGCATTCTTCGCATCTAAATATCCTATACATCTGTACACAATGGCCGGTAACTCGTACCCCTCTTTTATTCTTGCGACAGCAATAGCCTGGTCTAAAGGCACTCCAAATACAGTTTTAGGGACACCCGAAGATGCTAAAATACTCTTCTTTTTCTCCTCTTTACTTCCGTAGCCAAACATACTCTTTCCAAAGAAAGTCATGCGAACCCCTTTTCTGTCTTTTTTGTCAGGATCATCCAATGATTTACGGAATGATCCGGCATTAAGATTTAAATTAGGTTCTCTAAGAATTTGGGTATACGACTGATATGCTTGTAAATTAGAGTTTTCTTGCAGTTGCGAATCCCTGCCCTCGGGCGTGTGACTGCGTGATCTATCACGTAGAGGTTGCCCGGCGGATATGCCGAGATGTGAGTGATTTTCGTTTTGAGATATAGGGTTGGATGGGAGGTTATTTGAAGAAAGTACGTGAGTATTGGGAGACGCCGAGAGCGGAGACGCTGTGTGTGGAGATGTTGAAAGTGGCGACGTTTGTTCATGAGTAGTAGATGCTAAACTGAAATTAGAGGCGACCGATTCGCTCGTTCCATGACGTTGATGAGGCGCCCTTTCATTACGTGTTTCAGTTTGCGCTTGTTGCATAGCAAATTCCATTATTTGAGCGTTTAATTTGACGACGCTCAACTTCTTCTTCGCTTCCTTCCCAGCCTTGTCCTTTTTACGTTCTTGAGTTTCTTCCTCTATGCCTACATGCTGAAGTAGGGTCTCAACCCATTCGTCACGTTCTGCGTCACTTTCAGCACATAGAATATGCTTAACAGGGCCTTTTAAACCACCTCTCTGTTCCATAATTAAGAAAGCGTGCCGATACGCATTTTCGCTTCCTGGAGCTTCTGAATCCGCGAGGTTTTTGGTCTGTTGTCGACCAATCTGGGCATTGGCCAAGCGGATCGAACCCAGATGGTGACCATCTTTCTGTATATTCCAATATAAGACAATTTTTCAATAAACTGGATATTTTGTCAATATCGATCTGATATTGCTGCGCAAACCTTACCGATTCATAATATTCCAAAACTGGTTTTTTGATGACAAAGTATCGTGTTTTCCACTTGCCAAAACTCTTACCCCGTTTTGTCAAGTAGCCTTCCTTGTAACCAGGCTAACAAATAGAATATCAAGTTAAGATGATGTCCGAACAAAGTATTAAATGAATGTTACGGACGGGGGGTGGGTAGTTATAGTACCTGATTCTCGGCTGTATATTGTTCGATAACGTTTGATTTGAGAAATTCACGTAGATCTTGATCGTCATCCCATTTAAGTGAAATCACGTGTTGCAAATATTTCTCAAGCGCGAGCTAAAATAATGATTGGCGGGCCGATGAGTATATATTATTATCATAGACAAGAAAAAAAATACATGTATGTGACTACCACACACCTTTCTCTGGTCAACTTTACTGGGGGCATGGTTTGAAAAAAGATTTTTATCAGGCA